TGGCATATTCTTATGTATTATACGCACGCACACACAATTTTTGCAACAATGCACGCACACACCCTAACCCCACCTACAATTTTCTCACCATATATGCATGCACGCATATACGTACGCATGCATGCATGCACGCACGCGTACACACATGCACGCATGCACGCACGTGTATACGCACGCACGCATGCGTACACGCATGCACGCGTATACGCACGCACGCACGCATACACACACCTAATCTGTACAAGCAGATTTGATAAGGATGTACCTGGAGAAAGCCACTAAGAAGATGAAGAAATGGGCGGATAAGAGTCAAAGGGACGTGGGTTTTCGACCTGGAGACAATGTTATGATCAAACTGCTACCACAACAACACAAGATCTTCAAAAAGATACACAAAAGGTTAATAAGGAAATATGAAGGCCCATTAGAGGTACTGCAGAAGGTTTGTGAGGTAGCCCATCGGCTTGAATTACTGCCAAAGCTAAAGATGCATCCAGTGTTTGACGTGAGTATGCTAAAGCCTTATCATGAAGATCCAGAAGATCCAAGCCGAGGTCAGTCGTCAAGGGCACCTACAATAGTGGTTTTCTCCTACGGCAAGGATGTTGAAGAGATACCTGACGATCGCCTCATTCAGAAACACAGAGTGCCACAAAAGAAAGAATATTAGTGAAATGAAAGGGCTTACCAGAAAGTGAGGTAGTTGAGAACCTGCGGATGTATTGTGGCAATTCACAAAGAAGATTGAAGTGTATCAAGAAGGGTTGATGAGGACGTCACCAGATTAGGTGGGGGAGAATGTTACATCCCGCCTTATTTTTGCCACATAAACATCGCAATATGGTAATTCTACAATTTCCTATAAGAATCTAGAATGTGCTAGATGTGTCTAGAGTATTTTAGATGTGTCTAGAATGCTCTAAACATTTCAAAATATTCCAAAATGTATAGAGTCATCTAGAACATAGTATGTTGTAGAGTAGAATAGTGTAGTAGAATATACAACAATGTAATAGAATGTAATAGACTATTGGTATTCTATAAAAAGTGAGGAACTATGAGAGTTGTACAAAGTTCTGAAGAATTCCTACTAAGGATTAAAATGGTGTTCCGCTGTTGACATCTTATTTCTTAAGATTAAGCTTTTGATAAGAAGATTAAAATGGTGGGAAAAACATATTTTTGGGTCTATCATTAGTCCAAAGAAAAAAAATCATGTTTGAAATTGATTACCTTCTCTTACAGAAGAATCTAGACCTCTCTTTCACTCTGAACTCTCCCACCGTGTGCATATGAAAATCCAATTATTCACGATCACCATAGATGAAGAAGTGTATTGGTGGCAAAGATCCAAAATCTTTTAACTCAAAGAAGGTGATTCCATCACCTCTTTCTTTCACAAAATAGTCTTAGTTCATAGAAGGCAGAATTTCATCCCTTCTCTTCTCCATAACAACACTCTTATCTCCTCTGAATATGATAAGCAGGAAGCTTTCCTATCCTACTTCTCATCTCTCTTTAAAGCTCAATCTCATTCCTCTTTTGAGATAGACTGGAACTCCTTACGTCCAAACTACAAAATCAACCTCTGCTTTAGATTACCCTTTCTCTCATGAGGAGATAAAACAGACAGTTTTCTCCATGCATCCTAACAAATCTCCTCGCCCCGATGGCTTTCTAATCTTCTTTTACCAACAGTTTTGGAACTGTACCAAAGAAGACATCTTTTCTTTCTTTGATAGTCTTTATCTAGATGCCTCTCCTCTCCACAAGATTACTACCTCATATATCACTCTCATTCCTAAAGTTGAAGGGGCCAATCAAGTCAAATACTTCAGACCAATTAGTTTGCTCAATGGCTTGTTCAAAATCTTCACTAAGGTGTTAGCCAATAGACTGGCATCCCACGTCTCATCTCTTGTTGATCATTCTCAATCTGTCTTTTAAGTAGGAAAATCTACTCTAGATTCCATCATCTTTGATAGTGAAAGTGAAATAATACACAATTGTTGTTCTAAAAAGAAGGATATTTGTATCTTCAAAATTAATCTTATGAAGGCTTTCAATCTGTGAGTTGGCCTTTTCTTCTTCCACTTTTGAGAGCCAAAGGTGTTGGTAATAAATGGTGCATTTGGATTAAGCATACCCTTTCCTCATCAAAATCTTCCATCCTTGTTAATGGCATCCCCTCTAAATTCTTTCAATGTCATCATAGTCTCAAACAGGGAGATCCCTTATATCTTATCTTGTTTATCCTTGTCACGGATGTTCTCAATAGAAAGCTTAACAACAGTATTGACCCTGGTGACCTATGTGAACTTAACCTTAAAGGTCCTCTGAACTTCATTAGATCCCTTCAATTTGCAGACAATACTCTTGTTTTCTGTAAGGCTTCTTATCATGACATCTCCATTCTTAAAATAATCTTTTACTTGTTTGAGGATATTTCTGGTCTCCGCGTTAACTATGCCAAAACGAGACTTTTTCATCATGGTAAGCTCTCCAACAAAGGTGCATCCATAGCCAAAATCATGAGCTGCTCCCTAGACTCTCTTCCTTTCAGATATATGTGTCTCCCTCTCAAGTTTGGTTCTCTTACAAAAAGAGATTGGCAACCTCTCCTTGATTCGTTTAACAAAAAGCTCTCTTTGGAAAAGTAAATTATACTTATCAATAGGCGGTAGATTAACTCTTGTTAATTCAGTCCTATCTTCTCTCCCTATCTACTATATGTCCTTTTTCAAACTTTCCATTTGGATTTGGATGTCTAAATCTATAGTCAAGATCAGAAGAAGAACTTTTCTTTCGGATGGTTCAAGTTCTTCATCAGTCTCTAATTGCAAAGGTTTGGTGAATTGAAATCTGTATGTAGATCCAAAAAGGAGGGGGGGGCTCTAGGAGTTCTTAACTTACAACCTTTCAATTATGTTCTCTTGTCAAAATGGGTCTGGAAATTCATGAAGAATGATTCTCTTGTGGCCACAACTCTTTTCTAACTTCTATGGCAAACATAATTCTCCCTTTAATGGTACACCACACTATAGATCCGTCTCTAAGTTTTGGTATGATGTTGTTTCTGTCAGCCAGTCTCTCTGACAGGCATGGTCAGGCGGTATTTAGGTGAGGGGTTCAAGAATCAAATTTTGGGAGGATAAATCATAAATGGTTAGACACCAATTCCTAAGCCAGATTATACCCTGCAGCATATAATTAAGCTGGCTTTCTCGAGCAATATTGTTAACGTGTGCTCTCGCAAAGTTCATTTCTTTGCACTTTTTATCTTTCTTTCCTTTCTTTCTACGTCAATGATTGTAATAAACTTTATTTCTGGGATTCTGGAGCATTTAGCTCTACTTTTTGTATCTTTCGCTTATAGCCTTGTTATATGCACTTTTTATTTTCATTTGTTTGGGTTTGATGGTTTTAATTTGTTAGAAGGGGTGACGGCCGGCGTCCTTTCCTCCTTCCCATTTTTCGGCAATCAGCTTCAACAAACGTCAATAGTTATTGCGTATAATGTAGACCACTATAATATATCTTTTGAATATGGCGTCTCCCACTATTTTTACTTCAAAAAAAAAAGAACATGGAATTGAAGGGGATGACCCAACTGAGAAAATATTGTCAACACAAAAAAAAAATTAACCATTAAATGCATTGTTGAATAGTGTCTAAAATATAAATTCTCTTCCTATGTGAATTAGTATCTCAAAGAACGATGTTTTACGTACATTATTTATAAGGTTATTTACACATATACCCCATGTGAAATCGCGTTTTAAAACTTCTTACCTTTGTAGTTTGATTTTGCAGATGAGCTCCTTGAGTGAAAATTTTCAACTCTTTTACCCTCGGAAAAAAGAGGATATTGATTTTTGGGAAATTAACCGGTAGGACTAAGAGAGTCTACTCGAAATACATTAAGCCTTATTTTATCATTTAAAGAAAGCTAGAAATTTGGTCATAATTCTTTGTCCTGCCCTTTGTAAGTCAGAATTTCAAAAAATTCCGAGTAATGTTCTAAAAAAAGTACTATAATTTGAAATTGATGCGAGGGACATAATTGGAAAATTATCACAAAAAAATAATAATAACAACAATTCCAAGTTCACAACCTGAATGGAGATTCGTACTTTAGTATCCTAATATCCCTATCCCTAGGTAACTATAAGTTTCAACTAAAACAAATGCACATCCACTTACCCTCTTAGACCTCTGGTTTTCACCTCTCTGGCCGTGGATAATCATGTAAGTCTTCAACTCGGTGTCTCTCTGCCTATATCTTTTGTGCGTTTATTATAATGCATACAAATTCTGACTTTCTTCAACCTCTATTATCTACTATGTTTGCTTCTAAGTATGAGTAATGATTTACGCATTGAGAAATTGTAAATTTAATTGACATGAGTTACGGTGAGTTCTTTGCTATATCAATTTTCTTTCTACATTCAGCCACATGACTCTTTTCGTACTTCACGCATGTATTGCATCATGCACACAACACTGGGAGACTAGCTAGAGATAAAAGACAAGAATGCAGCTATATGAAATCAATAAATCTGCATCGATCATGTTTAGGGGAACTCAACTTTCATTGGAGAGACCCTTTGCATACAGAAAGCAGAAACTATAACAAGAGCAATTACGTAACGCTGCCATGGTGCAAAGCTATCTCGAGACCAAACAAATAAGCAACAAAAGGGCGATACTCATCGGAAATCAACAATCAAAGGACAAAACAAACAAGCAATCATAGTTCGGAGGGACAAAAGAACTATAAAACAAAGGCTTGATTGGTAAAGTGAATTTTACAGACGTATATCTTTCAATTTTATCGAGAGTATACCATGTCCTCTGTAGTATTCATATCCTGGAGAAAAACTACAATGATTTCTTCCATCATCGGCTGCTTTGCTGTATTTTCTACTGGAGGACACCAGAAGCACAACTGAAGGTGGCCTTGATTCTCCAAGCGTAAAGCAAC